AATTAGGATTCATTCTTGTTAGACCGTGAAAAGGAAAGAAATAGAGGCCAGAGTTCTGAGGAAGAAAATTGAGGCAAAGCTTCGCGAGGTTTCCAAGAATCAAGGAAAAAGGATTATAGTCGACAATTAAGGTATGGGGAACATTGCCTTCATTGTTTTCAATATGTGATTCAATGTGTTTAAAGTTGATTTAAGGTTTTAGGGATTATTGAGTATTGAATCGTTGTTTCCCTTCTGGTGAATTTAATGAGTTTGATGGATTTGAACTGATGGCCTGATAGGTTTGAGGCTGATTTGGGAGTAAGGGAAATTAGGCCTTCGTGGCCAAAATCTGTTGTTTAGGTTTTAACCGTATAAGGTAATTGATTATGAGAACTCTAATGAATGTGGGAAAATTGTAAGGATTTAATGGGAATTGGAGGCGTAAATATGATACGGGATTGGCCTAATAAGTCGTAGGTTTTGTGCCTTTATCGCCGTAATACCTTAGGAATGATTTAGGGATATTTTTAGGGCATTGGGGAAGGAAATCGTAGAGGTTTTTGGGTTGGTTTTGGTGCTGGTGCGTAACAACAATTTGCTGTAATCGTGAGTTCACACAACGAAGAATCCTTCGCACGACAAACATTTGCCCCAGACTCGCACAACGAACTTGCTAGCGAACGTAGCAGAGTTTCGCGAATTCTGATCTTATGCAGTGATGTCTTAATATTTTGATATTGTGATTTCTTTGATGAATTACCATGAGTATGACTATGATTCTTCTAAGATTAATACATGATTGTATGGTGATTCCTATGAGTAATAAGGATGAGTTATGATGTTAATTTCATGAGTTTTGATGATTCTATGATGACATGATTATTATGATGATTTTTATGAATGATGATGCACATAATAAGTTTATTATTAGGATTATACGTGTGCATCATGCATCCATATGCATTCCGGACTTCGGTCTAGGACCTTGATTCTTGTGACTTCAGTCCCATTATGCAGATGTGGGGTATTTTGTTATGCTCCGATTCTCGTGTAGACTCGATCCTACTGTTATGGATCTATGGAGGGTTGATGGCCCAATGTCCATCGAATTTTGTTGATTGGTACCACATGCATGAGTCTTGTTGCATTTGCATTTATGTGACAATTTGGTGTAATTTATAATGTTGTGGCCTTTGATGTTCCTTGATGATTATGATGATGTTGAATATGAAAATGACACTATTTTATATATTAATTCTTATATTGATTATTATGAATCGTTTTACTCACCCTGCCTGTTCGAATGTTACCTCCACGTGGGTAACGTGCATATGACCAAGTTTAGCTGTGGATGTCGTCAAGGACTTTTTGGAGTTTTTAACTTTTGATTGACTTAGAGGGTCTTGCTCTGATAGTGTAACATCGGGTTAGGGTCTTTGAGTTAAACCATGTTTTATTGATTATTGTTATTTTGATTATGTTGCGCAAGGAAAACTTTGGATTTTGCCTCTTTGAGTTCCGCTGCCTTTTGAGCAATTTTTGAGTAATTTTGGAAAAACCCATTGTTTACAGAGCATTGGCTTTGATTCGAATTATTGAGAAATGTACGCCATTTGAGGTGATTTTTATTATGTTTAAAATATTACACTGGTAAATGTGAATGATTTGCCATTATATTTTTGGGGTAGAAAAGGGTGTTACATTAGTGGTATCAGAGCAAGTCGGTCTGTCCGGGCAAGTTGCCTAATGTTATTTGTTCCATAGTATGCGATATATGTGTGAAAACACTATCGATACACGTTTGTTTTCTAACCTTTGTCCGTAGAAGTGGGAATGAAACAAGTGGGGAAGAAGCTTGTGCTCCTCCAGGATGCTTCAAGTGTGGAGTGGTGGCTCAATGTGTCGATGAACGCTCTTATAGTTTGGTAAAGATGGTTTATGCCCCATCATGATTTTCGGTTGTCTATTGACAAAGTGAGGAACTGATCACCTATAATCTCTTGTTGATAGTAGGTGGAGTCATGTTGGATGGGATAGACGTGTCTTGCAAGCTTAGATGGCGTGTGCAGTAAATTGTTTTGAGTTAAGCCAAGTGCTTACAAATTGTTTTGGTGAGTTGGTGCAGGATGATGCTGAGATGTTTATTTTTATGGAAACTTTGAGTGTTAATAAAGTGGGGAAGTTGGTGGTGTGCCAATTATTTGTGATTATCCAGAAGTTTTTCTTGATGAGATAAGTGATTTACCGTCGGAAACGTGAAGTGGGGTTTACGATCGACCTAGTTCCTGGAACTAGTTTGGTAGCGATGGCTTCATATCTTATGTCCACACCGAAATCGAAGAAGTTGAAGAATCAACTTGAAGATCTGCTTGAGAAGAGGTTCTTTTGTTCGAGTGTGTCACCATGGGGTGCACCAATTTTGTTAGTTAAGAAGAAAAAAGGTTTTGTGAGGCTTTGTGTGGATTATAAATAATTGAACAAGGTGACTATCAAGAATAAGTATCCACTTCTAAGGATTGATGATTTGATGGATCAGTTGGTTGTTACAAGTGTGTTCAGTAAGATAGACTTGAGATCTGAGTATCATTAGATTCGTGTGAAGCGTGAAGATATTCCGAAGACAGCTTTTAGGACAAGGTATGGACATTATGAGTATTTTGTGATGCCACTTGGTGTGACTAATACACAATGTGTATTTATGGAGTATATGAACAATATTTTCCATCCTTATTTTGACAAGTTTGTGATTGTGTTCATTGATGATATTTTGATATATTCGAAGAGTAAAGAGGATCATGTTGAGCATCTGAAAATTGTGTTATCAGCGTTGAAAGAGAAACAGTGGTATGCAAAACTATCAAAGTGTGAGTTTTGGTTGAAGGAAGTGAGTTTCCTTGGTCATGTGATCTCGAGTAGAGTTATTGCGGTTGATATGTTGAAGGTTGAGCTGTATCACAATGGGAAGCTCCAAAACCTATTTTTGAGATTAGAAGTTTTCTTGGGTTGACATATTATTATCGAAAATTCATTGAATGATTTTTTCAAGTTATCTTTGCCATTGACGCAGTGGACTAGGAAGGTTCGAACTTTTGTTTGGATGCAAGGTGTGAAGAAAGTTTCAAGAGCTTTTGAGCAATTTTTGAGTAATTTTGGGAAAACCCATTGTTTACGGAGCATTGACTTTGATTCAAATTATTGAGAAATGTACGCCCTTTGAGGTGATTTTTATTATGTTTGAAATATTACTCTGATAAATGTAAATGATTTACCATTATATTTTTGGGGTAGAAAAAGGTGTTACACTAACTTAGGAAAGCCCCTAAGATGCATCTTCTTTTTGGTAGCCTATACCAACAAGATTCATCTTCTTTTTGGTAGCCTAACAAATAAGAACTTCATAGTTAAGCGTGCTTGACTTAGAGTAGTATATGAATGAGTGACCTTCTGAGAAGTTTCCTATAAAGCGTGTGAGTGATGACAAAACATGCTGAAAATACCCGTGTTAGTTTGTGGGGTTAATCGACAATCCCGAAAGCAGCCTCAGACATTACAAATGGCATTAGAGCAAACCTATTATAATACGATGTGGTTCGGGACAAATCAAGCGAAAGCTGTGGGCATGTAACACTCGAGGCTGAAAAGGATGGGGGGTGGTTGTAACATCCGAGGTCGAAGACGGCAGGGAATGGTCGCCTGAATTCACATCAGAATGAGAGGATCCTGAGGCTGTGTATGTATGAGACCACATGTTTGAATGAAGACTTATAATGATTGATTGATATTACATATACTAATAATATATATATATATATATATATATATATATATATATATATATATATATATATATATATATATATATATATATATATATATATATATATATATATATATATATATATATATATATATATATATATATATATATATATATATATATATATATATATATATATTTTGGTAAGTTAACAAATAAGAACTCCATAGTTAAACGTGCTTGACTTGGAGTAATATTTGGATGGGTGACCATTTGAGAAGTTTTCCGGAAAGCGTTTAAGTGAGGATAAAGCTTGTTGAAAAGGCTTCTGTTAATTTTTAGGGCCAGTCAGTAATTCTGAAAGTAATCTAGGGCGTTATAAATGGAATATGAGCAGACCTTTCTAATATGATGTGGTTCGGGGACGAACCAAGTAGAAGTTGATGAGGATGTAACAGTCGAGGCCGAAGAGGGCGAAAAGTGATTTTAACACCTGAGGCTGACGAGGGTGAGAAGTGATCTCCCAAATTCACATCGGAATGAGCAGATTTTGAGACTGTGCAGGTATGAGACTGCACGGTTAAAGAAATGCTTCTAAGGATTGATTGATACTACATTTACCAATAAAATACATATTCTTTTTGGTAGCATAACAAATAAGAACTCAATAGTTAAGTGTGTTTGACTTGGAGTAGTATTTGGATGAGTGGTCATTTAGAAAGTTTTTTAGTATATGTGTGAGTGAGGACAAAACATACGTAAAAGACCCGTGTTAGTTTGTGAGGTCAGTTACTAATCTTGAAAGCAATTCTGGGCATTATAATACGTCTTCTGTTTAGGTCCGTTTAACAAAAATCTAAGTAAAAACAAAGTTCCGCATTCACTAAAAAACAAAGTAAAACAAGATAAATATAATAGAAAATACAAACCCAAAAATTTGACAAAAATTTATATGCACAATAGACATGTCCGAAAGATTGGATCTATTTTACCTCCCATATGGTAAGAGCACCATGTAACAATTTTTAGGTTCTAAATAATTTTCCTGAGTATGATGTGTGTGGGGTCAAGTAAAGTTTTCCTTCCTCTCCGTTTTTGGTCTTCAACCAAACAACGAGAATTACAAAACCTTTTCCCCCCGCAACAAAACCCCAACATCCAAACCCAAACCCATTGCGGAGGAGTGGCACCGTAGTAGCACCAACGAGCAAAACGACACTCAATTGCTGAGAACTTCAACTTCACTCACTCGCCCACGATAATGGCAATGAGCGATTCACATTCATCTCTCTTCAACTTAGGGATTTTAGACACTCTCACCCAAGACGAACTTCACGAAATCCTCGACAGCTGCAACGCCTTCTGCAGCGCCACACAATCTCTTCTCGGCGGCGCCGGCGATCTCTCATACGGTGCTCAATTTGTTTCTCATGTTCACACTCTCTGCAAACACGGCCTCGAATCACTAGTTCGCGACCACTTTCTCAGAGTCTTAGAGGTGCGTAACAAAATATTTCATTACTGACATTACAAAGATCGAATTTTTATTGAGTATAGATCCCTTTGGTTGCAGGAAACTTTTGAACAAAATGGGGCATCGAGGTTTTGGCGGCACTTTGTTCCTTATGCTGATTTTGTTGATTTGAATAAGAATGATGATATCAATGTGAGTATTTATGAACCTAACTTTTGACTGTTTGGGTTGTGGATTGTACTTGTTACTCTACTCATTAGAGCACCAACATCTATGAAAAATGTCTATCCGTGCCTGTGTCGGAAGCCTACACCGATACTTGTGATTACTTTCAATTTATTCTTCTTTTCAAATTGTTACTAGTGTCAATGTCAGTTTCATAGACTTTACTTATTTATTTTTTGATGAAATGAAACAGATTGATGAGGATGAGATTGAGAGTGTGTTGTATAATGCTTTGGAGGAAATCTCTTTGGAGAAACAATATCAGGAGAAGTGTCTGTTAATATTGGTACATGCTTTACAATCTTTCAAGGATCAAATGTCAGAGGAAAAACATGATTTTGAAGCAGAGAGAAATTACCTTACCTCTAAGTATCAATGGATTGTCTCTTCTGTGCTTATGGCTACACTTCCTCGCATTTTCCCCGGTTTGTAAGCAGTTTATTATTTTTCGTTTATATGTTATAAGGGTTGCCATTTCATACTAAATATAAATTTATTGTTTTCAATTTTGATTATAGAATGTTCTCAAGAATACTCTTGTTTTCCCCCACATGCCTAATTTTACATCTTAGGTCTAATATTACCAATGATATAGGTCAGTACTTTGTGAAATGGTTTTTTGATCTTCAAAGCACTCTAGTTGTTTGAAAGTTTTGCTTATTAGAAGTATAGTTATTAGAAACAGAGAAGGACTGTATAACAAATGTAATACTCTAATAATAGTTACTAGCCTTCTTGTCATCACTAATTCTCTTTGATGATTTTTATGTGTGTGACACTTTATTTTTTCTAATCCGCCTTTCTATTTTTTCCCTCTTGTTTGCTGTCATTAGTTATATTGCATTGGTATTTTAAAAGAAGGCTGGAGGAATTGAGTACAATCATGGACGGAGAGTTCACTGATGATGTATCTCAAAATAAGGATGGCATGGATTTAGATGAAAAAGGAAAAACATGCAATGAGGATGGTGAGATGGATGTTGATGAGTGTTATAGCAACCGTCGGTTCTCAGAAAACAGTAGACTGGTGAAGAATATTGGAAAAGTTGTTCTTGATCTCAGAAGCCTTGGATTTACTTCTATGGCCGAGGATGCTTATGCTTCTGCTATATTTTTACTACTAAAGGTGAGCATATGTTTATGAAATTCAAAATCTGGATCTTCCAGTTTTACTTGGTCCCTTTTACGGTTTACCAATTTGGGTTTCATCTTTATGTTGCACTTAACATGTGTATATCTGTCTGAGTATAATCTTTGGGTGGGTCATTTGTCTGAATTACAGGCTAAAGTATATAATGTAGCCGGAGATGATTTTAGGAGTTCTATCTTACAATCTATTCAAAGCTGGATACAGGTTTGTAGTGCTTATATGTTGCGAATCTGTAAACCTTGTGTGAACACCTATGTTAGCTTGTATAGATAAACAAATATTTTCATGATTCTAACATGTGATACCTGTAACTAAAATGATTCAGGCTGTTCCTCTCCAGTTTCTCCATGCCCTTCTTGTCTATCTTGGTGACTCTGTTAGTTATGAAAGTACTTCATCAGGTCTCAAATCACCTTTAGCGCCACAACCATCATCATTTTGTCCTGGAATTGATACTCCCTCTGAAAGTCTTGTCAGATGGAAGTTGCGGCTGGAATATTTTGCTTACGAAACACTACAAGATTTAAGGATAGCCAAATTATTTGAGATAATTGTTGATTATCCCGAGAGGTAGTTTGTTAGTTGTAATTCCGTGTTTTCCTTCTGGGTTTTCTGTTTGAAAATTAATTATTCTATTATGTCTCATGTGTTTATGCAATTGTTTTCTGAGCATTTATTAGTCTTTTCTCTTTGATGATACTTGAAGCTCTCCTGCAATCGAAGACTTGAAACTTTGTCTTGAATACACCGGACAACATTCAAAGCTGGTGGAGTCATTTATTTCTGCTCTGCGTTATCGCCTTCTTACTGCAGGCGCATCAACAAATGATATATTACACCAATATGTTTCGACTATTAAAGCTCTAAGGACAATAGATCCTGCAGGTGTTTTCCTTGAGGCAGTTGGCGAACCAATAAGGGATTATTTAAGAGGAAGGAGAGATACAATAAAATGCATAGTGACCATGCTTACAGATGGGACGGGTGGTTCATCAAGTGCATCTGGAAATCCTGGAGATAGTCTTCTTGAAGAGTTGAACAGAGATGAAGAAATTCAAGAGAATTTTGGTGTTGATGATGACTTTAACACTGATGATAGGCAAGCATGGATCAATGCCACACGGTATATTCATATTATGGATTTTGATTAACACTTTTCACCTCTCTTTCTGATGTGGTCTGCTTGCCAGGTCATGAAATTGATGTTTCTTCTAAATGGGCTTTTCCAAGCAGATGGCAACCCGACCCTGTGGAAGCAGATCCATTGAAGGGAAGCAGAAACCAAAGGAAGGTTGACATACTTGGGATGATTGTTGGCATAATTGGTTCAAAAGATCAACTAGTTCATGAATATCGAACTATGCTTGCTGAGAAACTTTTAAATAAATCTGATTATGATATTGACTCAGAGATACGTACTCTAGAACTCCTTAAGGTGCTTGTTCATATAAAACTCGTGTTGCCTTTTCGTTTGACTAAATATGATGTTAATATTTATCATTTTTATATGTGTAATTCTTTGTTTCTGCAGATACACTTTGGAGAGAGCAGCCTACAAAAATGTGAGATTATGCTGAACGATCTAATTGGCTCAAAGAGAGTCAATACTAACATTAAAGCTACCATAAGTCAGCCATCTCAATCAAGTAATTTCCAAGTTCGAATGTCCATTATTTGTGATCATTGCCGAAGATATTTTTAACTATTATCTGCTTCAATTCCTTTTCACCGAAATTTGGGTTATGGGCTCTTAGGTGTTGAGGTTGAAGACAATGCAATATCCATGGATAAAATAGCTGCGACAATCATATCTTCTAATTTCTGGCCTCCAATACAGGTACGTAGATAAAATTATTTTATTGATCATTTTTGAATTTAAGATAATATGAAAAAGTAATTTATTTATGTTATGACTTATTAGATTATTTCTTCTGATTCTGACTACTCAGCCTGTAATATACTCAGGTTCATTAATATCATTTCTTAGATGAAAAATTGCAATAAATAGTCTTCAATTAGATTTTGTTTACTATTTGTATGTGCTCATCACTGCCTAGCTGTACTCGATGACTCCTTTTTTATTTGCTGTGTAAAAAAAGACTCCTTTTTACTGATTTTTGTTTAATAAGAATCACTTCTACACCTGAGAGGCAGGGATTGTAATTGACCCCCTTACACTACATTTCAAATTTCAGGATTCTCACGTTACTCAATAGTCAATACTGTAGTTTGTAAATACAAAATCATTTTAGGAAACTCATACTCACCTTACCTTAAGTAATTCTAATCCAAAATTTGAGCAAGCTTTTCTTTTCATGCCCCCATCTTTCCCACTGTCTTCACTCGTATATTTTAATTTTAATATTGTACATTATGCTGAGGCAAATTTATAATTTCCAAAAGCAAGACAGAGCATTTTCATGCAATTACAACTCATTATGTCAAATATTCTATTGCTTATTTTGTCTAGCCTATTCTAGGAATCTTAATATATACAATTAAGAAGACACATTAATTCCTAATTCACACATCCCCTTAAATTGATGCAGCTGATGAAAAAGCATCAATTTGCAACATTCGCTAACAAGAAATTGATAGCGTGAATGAGTAAACAACCTTGGTAGAAATATCCATAACCTGAAATCGAGTAGTGATGTAAGGGATTGATATAACATGGTTATCAAATGCCTCACTGATATAACAAAAATTTACTTAAATGTTTTGGCGCGCTCATGAAAAATTGATATGCAACAATTTGAATAACGCATGTATTGGCAACATATAGAGACTACCCGCGAGTTTAACAACAAATTATATGTTAGGTTGAGTAATGATAAGTAACTAAGACTACCTATGAGCTGTCGATACTATAAAGGATCAGTCAAAAGGTCACCCTCATCATTAACTTTAGGAAGGGTATCCACCAGAAGGTCACCCTCATCATCATGGTGAGATTTAACATTAACTTCAGGAAGGGTATTCATCAGATTAACTGATTGGAGACCAGCCATAGAAACCAGGCTGGTGGCATACTTATTCTGATGGTGAAGTATACCCTTGGAGGTAGAACGAACCTCAAAACCAAGAAAATGATGCAAAATACCTAAGTCTTTCATATGAAATGAGGTTTGAAATTGCTTTTAATGTTCTTGAATGGATGTCTAACCCCAAACAATAATAACCACACCATCTTCATAAAAAAAAAACCATAGCATCAATACAAAGAACAGTGCCCATAGAGGTGCGGTGAATGAACAGAGGAGCCATATTGACTTTTGAGTAAAAGAGAATCCAAGTAGATTGGAACCTAACTTCTCATACTAAACTTTCGGAGCTTATTTCTAATCATACAAAAGCGTTTGAGTTTGCACACACCTTTAGATGAAGAGAATAGGTTTCGAGAAGTTGTTAAGTATCTCCAGTTAGGTCACCATTAATAAATACATTCTTCGCATCTATTTGATAAAGAAACCATTTGTTAAAAACAACAATAGAGAGCATAATTCTGACAATTGTCATTTTGGCAACATGTGCAAAACTTTCATCATAATCAGTTCCATACTCCTGTTAATTCCCCAAGCTTTGAGTTTGGAGGGGAGGGAAAGGGAAGACTTTGAAAAATGATTTTTTTTTATAAAAGATATAGAGAAATCTTTTAACATTTTTTGAAAAAAAGATTTTGTTTTGAATGATAAAACAATGCTTATCATTAATATATTTTTAATTTTTAAAATATTATAACAAAAAAAATTATATTTGAACAATTTGTCTAAACTCTTTAAAATCCTAAAAAAAAACCCATACAAATTTTGAGTTCCCTCAAATTAGGGGGTTTTAGGTGTTATAAATAAAACAAACTCTCCAAAATCCTCTCAACCAAAATCCTTCTATTCTTTTCACTCAATCCTTCATATTTTTCTAAGTTTTCCACTCTTTTCCCATCTAGACTCTCAAACAAAGCCCAAGACAACTAGCCTAGCCTTGTAACAATTGAGGGAACCATCATAATATTTTTTTCTTCACAAAATACAGTCATTTGCATTGTATCATGATATAAGGAGGGCCAAACACACTATCCCATGTGATTTTTTTGAAGAGCTTAGAGTTCATCTTGCATCGTTTTATCTAACACACACCCTTAAGCAGTTGATGAATCATACCTATGTGGGGAAAATCTACCAGGTGGAGGTGGAGGAATCTGTTAGGATGTAGAATAATGGTTAATTAGAGTACTTAAAGTAGTTAAGAGTTGTTATAGAAGTTAGTTAGTTAGTTGGTTGACTTGTTAGTTGGTTGGTTAGTTGGTTGACTTGTTAGTTGGTTGGTTAGTTGAGGTTGTTATATGACTATTTGTATAAATAAGAGAATACAATGTAAAAGGTTTCATAGACTCAGCTGCCATCAGTGTCTTTTGGGCTGTTTGGAAGGAGAAAAAAAGTCCAGCTCCTCAACTTTTAGTTGATATCTTTCACAATTTGCATGTTCTCCATGAGAAGAAGAGTGGCACTTTGCTATGTTGTCTTCCGTTGCTCTACAATTGGCTTATCTAGCATGTGTTCAAGCCCAATGCTTCTATTAGTGAGATGACCATAACCAGTGGGGAATGGGCTAGAATTTTGGTGTCCTTGTTGGAAGGGATATTACTTGGTACTGCAACATGCTCAATGTCAAGGAGATTATCCTCAACTGTGGTAGTTTTTCCAACTTACCTCTGATAGGGTCTAAAGGTTGTATAAGCTACACTCCTATACTAGCTCTACGACATGGGAGCTCTAATGATCGAGCCTTGCTCCATAAGATCATCCGATCTTGGGAGAAAGTTCATACCAAAGGCACAAAATTGTGAAACAGGAGTAGCGTGGCTAGGATGCCTTATCAGCAGTGGGTTCTTGAGAGGGTTAAGTTCGTCAAGCTCCCCTTCTCCATAGAGATTCCTCCTAGATCTGCTTTCTTAGAGCCTGAGCTTGTCTCGTCTCTCTGAAAGAAGTGGATATGCTTAAAGTGAAAGTGGCCAGACTTGAAAAAGAAAAGTAAGAGTTACATCGAGAGCTTTACAAGGTCACTGCAGAAAGGAATGACATTAGATTTGACCTCAACCAGAGAGACAAAGAATTTAATGAAAGTCAGGGAGTGGCCTCAGATGAAAGAGGCAAAAAGTCAAATACAACTTTGACACCTTGGGCAATGAGCTTAGTGAAAGAAACGAAGAACTCCGAAGAGCCGTCATAGCTAACAAGGAATGACAAGCCTGGTGGGATAGGGCTACACAGGAAAGGCAAATAATGAAGAAAGCCTTCGAAGCCGAAATTGAACATCTCTCAAAGCAGCTTTAGGGAGCCTAAGCCCACACCAGACGAGAAACTCAACCCAGACAAGAGATTGAGAGGACACACCAAAACCCTCATGGACTTGACGAAGAGCTGCATGAGTTTAGGCTCACAGCCCAATGCTTAAGGAAGTTAAGGAAGTCCAGGGAGGAAATGAAGCATTATTGGAAAGCTAAGTTTAATGAAAAGGTGGAAGAATTGAAACAAGAAGAAGCATTCTCTCTTCATACAAGTCACGGTCGGCAAATGGTTCGTAAAGTGTGAAGAAGTGGTAAAGCTTGCTAATCACTTGATATGAGTCTTTCCTCCAAGTCTAAGACACGCTAATGAGATGACTTATGAAAACACCCCACCTATTGTCTTCAATTTCATTCTCTTCTGACTAGATATGGTCAAAGGTCTTAGAGAGGGGTTCACTCATTTGAAGAAAGTCCGAAGAGTTGAAGAAGGCTTAGGAAGACTTAGGATAACTTTATGTTTATATCTCTTGCTTTGGACTCACATCAATGTACTTAATTGTATCATGAACGAATGTGGTTGCTTCAAATTGGTTATCTTTATATCTCGCTCTTACGCTTTTGAATGTCTAACGACTAATATGTTAGAACAAGATTTGTTCATGACATATATTCTTTGAGTTTTTATGATAATAAAGTATTAAAAGGACAATGGTTATATTTGATGTGTGTTTCATGTATTCAGGTTCTAATACTTGTAAATATATATTCAAAATCTGATATATAATGGCACACTTGAGAGAAGTTGAATTGCTAGCTTCTGGTGGTGCAGAATCTGAAGAACACTCTCTAAGTGATGTCTGGCGTAGACTCTGAAGCTGAAGGTCTCAGCATCAGAAGAATCAACATAATTGTCTCTACACTTGGTGAATGTAAATTGGCTTCTGGTGATCATTCAGAGTTAGTGATAAAGCTGAAGCTATCCGTACTCCAGAAAACAAGCTGCATTGTCAAATCAGTTTGTCAGCTAGAGTCTTAGTTCACAAGGCTCAAGAAAAGTTGGCATGCTTTACGAATATCTACTAACGGCTCTATAGTACATGATCTCTTTGAAGACTCAATGGTTAAACACGTTACACAATGAATTAAGATCTTTTGGTGTATCTATCTTCAACATCTCTTGTACTATGGAGAAAGCAAAGACCCTTGATCAAGTTATCTCTCTAACGTCTAATCTTCTGCAAATGCTATATAAGTAGCTGAAGGTTCAAACTGAATCTTTAACAAGGATCAACCTGATGGAGGAGTAACAAGACCAACAATTATCAACACAATTGGTTATGTAGAATTTCTGTTGTAGGTTATAATTGTAAAAACCTTAAGATTTCTTAAACATTGAATATCTTAGAAATCTTAAGAGCTTTCGGTCTTTGTTATGGTGATTTCCATGTACCTCTGAAATTTGTATCAAGTACACCTTGTTCTCTATTCTGCTGAACATGTTGTTTAGCAGTTTAGATCAAAAGTCTCTCGCCAAGATGCTTGAGCCATGTAAGTCTCCTGTTATGTCCTAGAGCATTGAAAGTCTTAATCAAGTGGGTTGATTGAGCAACCAAGTCTCTCGCCAAGATGCTTGAACCATGTAAGTCTCCTGCTATGTGCTAGAGCATTGAAAGTCTTAATCAAGTGGATTGATTGAGCAATCAAGTCTCTCGCCAAGATGCTTGAGCCATGTAAGTCTCTTGCTATGTGTTAGAGCAATGAAAGACTTAATCAAGTGGATTGATTGAGCAGCAAGTCTTGAGTTCGTGGAACTAAGCAAGGAAGTATTAGATCGAGGTCTGAGCAGAAGTCTTGAACCTGAGGGGTTTAAGTAGGAAGTCTTGGGCCTGAGGGGCTTGAGCAGGAAAGTCTTAGGCTGCGGTCTGAGCAGGAAGTCTTGGACCTGAGGGGTTTAAGCAAGATGTCTTGGGTTAGACGGGCTTGAGCAGGAAGTGTTGAACATGAGGGGTTTAAGCAAGAAGTCTTAAGGCAGAGGGGCTTGAGCAGGAAATCTTGGGCCTAAGGAGCTTGAGCAGGAAAGTCTTAGGCTGCGGTCTGAGCGAGAAGTCTTGCACCTGAGGGGTTTAAGCAAGAAGTCTTGGGTCAGAGGGGCTTGAGTAGGAAGTCTTGAACCTGAGGGGTTTAAGCAAGAAGTCTTGAGGCAGAGGGGCTTGAGTAGGAAGTCTCAGGTCTGAGGGACTTGAGCAGGAAAGTCTTAGGCTGAGGGTCTAAGCAAGGAAGTCTTGAGTATGTAGGACTTGAGCTAGGAAGTTTTGAGCCTCAGGGGTTTAAGTAAGAAGTCTCGGACTTAGGGTCTGAGCATTATAAAAGTCTTATGCAGAACGCATAAGCGATTGTAATCATGATTTGATTATAGTTAAAATCTCTTGTGAAGTAAGGGGACTGAACTACTCTCATTTGGGAGGATTCAATATAAATCTTTGTGTCTTCTGTTATTATTTATTTGCTTCTGTTAACATTCCGCTGCTAAGTATAACCAGAAGATGGACCGTCTACTTGAGGCCATGCTAAATATGGCCCAAAAGGAGAGAATTGCTGAAATAGACGCTGAAGCCCGAAGAATTGCTAGCCAAATTGACTCATGGCCACTTCATATCCCTGGGGTCACTAACCCCGAATTTGGCTTCGTTCGTTCGAAGGGCGTGCCTGTCCCTGCTCCTATTCCTGTACCCGTGGATAATGTGGAAACCCAAAATCATTCTGTCGCGTTTGCTCGACATGGATCTGTGTATGATAATGAAGATCCATTCGATGCCTTTTACATGCCTCCGCAGATGAGGCTTGCTGTTGGAGCTTTGCCCCCCCGCTGTAGAAAGGCTCTGTACTTTGGAGGAGAAGTTCAAGTCTTTGGAGGTTTACTCTACTCTTGGTTTGGACGTTGTCGACATGTGCCTGGTGCCAGGGCTGGTGTCAAGAGGACCCGTATTCAAATTGGACGTTCTTCTCTTCAAATCTGATCTTGCGATTCAAAACAAACAATGATAGCTGTTATTAAAGAAACAAAACACCAGAATTTGAGTGGTCCAATTCTTTATGCCATCGCACAAATTAAAAACACAAATGATTAGAATAAACTCAAGTGGAAATAATATTTCCACTTTAGGTCCCTTTGCAATCACTTTACACCATATCTGATTCTCCACATGACATCCAGCCCGAGAAAAATTAATACTACAATTGTTTGCCATCTAATTTACCAACATGTAATAAATTGGAAGCTAGGCTAGTTGATACACGTTCCAGAATCAGAGTTTATGGCATCATTATTAGTGTCAGGAAGAGTATTACCATTAGCGATTTGAATTTCAGAGTACCATAGTAAGAATGTATATTGTGCAAATATTCAGAAGAATCCGTCATATGATTAGATGCACCGGAATCAAAAAGTCATGAATGAGAAACATTAGATGATTTACCCTGAATGGCATGCCCAAGACTGAAAGTGCCATTTGTTGAATCATATCAGGCTGTAGAGCACCGCCATCAGATGCATAATTGGTGGAAAGACAAGTTGTTGAGATGGTAGTGGCATTAAATGCCTGCACATGATGTTTTGGTTTTGGGGGACGTATGGGACAATCATAGGTGATAGACCCTGCTGCTTGCAATTATTGCAAAACTTCATACTGCAACTACAAGCAACATGTCTAAATTGTTTGCAAGAAGAACATTGGACCTGTCAGCATTTCAGGACCTTTACCTCTACTCTGGTCAACATATCCAACCATCACAGGTACAGAAAGGGAAGCATCATAAAACATGGTATCAGCTTGTTCGATCAAACCTGAAGCCTTTTGATTGCAATCATAATCATTTTCTCGCTAACCTGTGAGAACATGATTCTTGGTTCTATCTGGTCATTACTGTTTGGTTCTCGCTAACACACGATCATGATTTTTAGTTCTCGCTGTTGTTCAATCTTAGTTCTGGATTCTCGCTGCTTCTCGGTCGTGATTTCACGGTTGGTTCTCACTGCTTCTTGGTCGCAACTTTATGTTGTTTTCACTGCTGCTGTTCGACCATTATTGTGTGTATCAGGAGTTAATGTATCCTTAATTGTATCTATCAACATTCTTAGAATAGGTTAGACAAATCAGGCAAGAGAATATTTGACATGACAATGCTCGTACCATTATTTATAGAAGGAATAACAGTGCAGAAGAGCATCAAACTATTTCTTTTGACAGCTATTTGCTATGTATACGCAAGAAGTTGATGCTGCACAGGATTCCCAACCTCTCTTTCAGAGAAGGAATTTAAAAACACATTAAATAAGGTGTAAAATTTTGATTGCTTTATTTCAAGAAGCATAAACAGTTTCAAAATTTCTTGATATTCTGTTTCCTAGTTATTCCATGTAAATTCATGGAGAGTTTCTTCAAACTAACAAGAAATTTATAATATATCAGTTATTTTCTCTTGAAGTTTAATTAACTCAGTGAGTTGGTCCAAAACAGGGAAATTATGGGAGAATTTTCTGTATATTAATTCAACAACTACTCTGGAACAAAGTTACAATTCACAATTACAACTTATAGAAAACCGACACAAATTACACACAAGCAAAAAGACAAGGACCAGTTTGGTTCCTACCAAGAACTCGCGAGTCTTGGATCTCTCCCTTCCCAAATGTTCCAGAATTGAGTCTCTCCCAATAACCACTCAATAACATCTCAATAATCCTTTTCTCACTGACCCCTTTCCCATTTATCCCGAACATAAACACCCTATTAAAACATAACTTACACAATTATTTAACATAACTCATCCTAATTTAGTAGTTACCACTTGGAACACAAACCATAACCGACCAAAGTGAGTTTTTAATGTTTACCTTCAGCAAAATATATTTTTATCACTTGCATTATTATCCAGCAAAGCTGTCTACTCTGTTCAATAAAATGAATTGTTCAACAAAAGTATTTTTTTATCACTTGCATTATTATCCGGCAAAGCTGTACTCTGTTCTATGATTGACTTTGAAGCGAATTACAGGATGAGCCCCTTAACCTTCCTGAACCTGTTGACCAGCTTCTCTCTGATTATGCAAAGAGATTTAGTGAAATCAAAACACCACGTAAGCTTCAGTGGAAAAAAAGTCTCGGTACTGTCAAGGTTAGTTGGTCAATTTTCTTAACTGTTTTCAGATCCTATGGTCTGGACTCTGGAGATATTCAGCACAATCTTTTGAATTTGATTAGTAGTGTTGTCCCTACCCACCTTTTACAGTTTTAGCTCTAAATTTTCTCCTAATATTATCATGTCCAATGGTATAGCTGGAGTTGCAGTTTGAAGATAGGGTAGTGCAATTCACAGTAGCCCCTGTTCTTGCATCTATCATTATGAAGTTTCAAGATCAAACGAGGTATATTCACAATCTATCATAGCTTTTGTCTTTTGTTTTGACTGTAGTGTAATATTATGTTTCTGCTTTCAGTTGGACCTCAAAAAATCTTGCGGCTGCTATTGGGATACCCGTGGATGTATTAAATAAGAGAATAAATTTTTGGATAAGCAAGGTAGGTCTGATACATTTTGGTATTAGTAAATATTGTCGTATGGTTATTTTTAGTTTGTGAGACAAATATTATTATCTCTTCAATCGGAAGACTTCTGTTGGCTTGTCCAAATAAAAAGTTCTAGTTATTTTACATTTTCATTGATGATAATGTTAATTTCGGTATAATCATTCTTATCTTTCAATAGCATGCCTTGCGGTTCAATGTTTGAAACCGCAAGTGTTAAAATTTAGTAGTGAAGATGTGTAACTTTACTCGCTGTCTACTTGTAAATAGGGAATAATTGCAGAGTCGCCTGACCAGGTATACACCATTATGGAAAACATGGGTGAGACGAGTAAGAATGGAGGAGGCAATGGCATTCCTCAGGATCTTCTTGGAGGCGATGAGGAGGAAGACGGATCTGTGGCCTCCGTAGAAAATCAACTTCTGAAAGAGATGACTGTGTATGAGGTAAATGAAATAAATTTTTTTTTCATGAAATATATTTTTAGTTGATATTTTTGACTTGCTATCATATTTTTAATCAATTATAAAACTTTAACTACCAACATTTGAGAGTCTTTGAAATGCAAGCTATTTAACATGTATTGTTTTTATGGCAGAAATTTATCTTGGGGATGCTCACAAACTTTGGTAACATGGCATTAGATCGCATTCACAATACTCTCAAGGTAAGAATGGTTTTTCACCTTTCGATCCTTGAACCATAAAAATGTGTTTTACACATTTATAAATGTTTTGGACACACATAACATAATCAACACTGCGATTCTTTCTATTACTGCAGATGTTTTGCGTTGCTGATCCCCCGTATGACAAATCACTCCAACAACTACAAAGCTTTTTATCTGGTCTAGTTTCTGAGGAGAAGTTAGAACTTCGGGATGGAGTGTACTTTCTAAAGAAGTAG